TTTGTCCTCCCATGGTAGTTTCTTGCCCTGTTCCAGTGAGGCATTTTTTTCTGTCCCATAGCTAATGAAGCAGTCATCCCTAGGCACCCACCTAACCACTTCAAGGGCACACTTAGATTATCTATTCTCATGGTTCTTAACCAAGGAGTGCATGTTGTCCTCTTCTGGCCATCCCAGAATGTTCTTAATCCTGAAACCTGCAGTCTCTACTAGATCAATCTGGAATTCTATCAGCTGTGTCAGTTGATGGAGGGCATTATCTCAGTTCCAGAGATCTCTACAAAATGCAGTTCAACAGCAAAGCAAACAGACTGAAAAGAATCAGGAGCTCCAGGGATGATAGGGGGTCCCATAAGACGTTTCTCTTACCTTCCTGGTGGTAAAGTATATATTTTCTGACAGCCCACAGACAGAAGTTGGAAAAGGATAGAAGGGGCACCCTCTAAAGGTTCATCAGAGTTTTAACAATCACATCACACTGCTCAGATGGTCCTTTATATATGTTGTAACAGCCCATTGTCAGTAGTTGCTCTGCATTTTTATAACCTTTTTATCACTACACAGCAGTGGAGTTTGCTGTAGTCCTGAGCTCTATGTCCTTAGATGACAGATTGGGATCAGGCTTCTCTACCGTGTAGTCTTCACTATGTTGTATTACTACAGGACAACAGACACTTAGCCATAGGTAATGACTGATCAATCGGATTCCTAAAATTTAAGATTTCTGCTCAGCAACATACCATTAAGAAAATGAAAAGGCACATCACAGATTGGGAGTAAATGTGTGTGCATGTGTACTCAGAATACGTAAAGAACTCTAACAACTCAATAATACAGAAGACAGCTTTTTTTTTTTTTAATGGGCAAGAGATTTGAACCACTATCCCACTGAAGCACAGAAATGGTCACTATAAAGAGGTACTCATCATCAGACATCAGGGAAGTGCTAGTTAAACTACAACCACAAGAATATCAAAATAGATAAAATTAAAAAGTAACAATACCAAGTGTTAGCAAGGACATGGAGTAACGCATTCTCATTCATTGCTACTCGGAATGTAAAACAGGAGAACCATTTTGGAAAACTAGCAGAATAGCATGAAGTTAGGCATACACTTACCCTATAGCCTAGAAATTCAACTCCTAGATATTTACCCAAGAGAAATTAAAGCATATATCCACACAAATGTGTGTAGAAATGTTCACAGTTTTATTTATAATAGATAAAATCTGGAGAAATATGGTTCATTCATTCAATGGAGTATGACTCAACAATAAAAAGGTTTTTTTTGTTTGTTTGTTTTGTTTTTTTTTTAAGTAGGCTCCACACCCTGCATGAATGGGCTTGAACTCATGGCCCTGAGATTAAGACCTGAACTGAGATCAAGAGTCAGCCATTTAAACAAATGAGCCACCCAGGTGTCCCCAAAAGGAATTTTAAATACAAATATGAATTTCAAAACCATGCTCTGTGAAAGAAATTAAACATAAAAAGGTATGTACATGATTCAATTTATATAAACTTCAACAAGAGGAAGTAAGCTATGGTGGTAGATACAAAAAAAAAAAAGGTTCCCTCTCATAGAAGGGGCTGGCTAGACCTGGACACGAGGTAATTTTGTTGGGTGCTCTATGATCAGGCCTGACCTACCTTGTACTTTTTCTCTCATTACACCAGGGTCCCTGTTTCAACCAGGGAACTTCAATCTCTTATGTCCTCATACCACCCACCCCATTGCCAATAGTCCCATTACTACCGTGAGAGCAGTTTGTCAGCTGGGCTGTTAGAGGTGCTCCCACCATACATCCTGCAAAGCCTAGGTACAGCTACCTTTTTAGAGCCTTCCCATTCCTTCCTACCCCACTGTACCATAAGTTAGCCCTTGATTTTATACTGTTTTAAGGTGCATGTATGCCTTTTGGTCCTAGCAATTTTTAAATAGAGCATTTTTTTTCCCATTTTCATCTCACCATGAAGTTCAAATGCCAAGGTAGCATTTAATTGGCAAATATTTGTTAAGAAATGTTCAACAGTCCGTCATGTATCATTCCTAAATACCAAAAAGGTTACAGCTGCAAAGACAGACCCAATGGAACATTAATATCACAGAAGACCTATTTGTTGGGCTCTATCTGACAAGTCAAAGAAGCAGTCTTTGTTTTCAGCTTTGATGCAAAATGAGGTACCTGACAAATACCTGGCAACTCTAGTGGTATTGATGGGGACCCAAGGGATTGACGAATAGAAGGGCCTAAGAAAATTGGAATTGAATTTCTTTCATTGCTTTGCTCCTTTCATTTTGAAGTGTGGGTGATTGCCACCTTCCAGCATCTTTTCTCCATCTAGGACACATTTCTTCTGCAGGAGCTTAGGAGAAAAGAGCCAGCTTGTTTTATAATTGTCAGGATAAAATGAGAATATCAACTAAATATCAGTTTCCTAACTATGAGGAAATTGGAGGAAAAAGTGGGGAAAAAAATGAAAAAAGATTTAGTGGGAAAGAAAACAGAAACCATTGGAGAAAAAAGGGGGGAGTCCGTGGGACACAATTTTACTTGGTCCTTTTTTTTCCATAATTGATTAATTAACCAGAACTTCATCAAAGATTTTCACATCTAGGTCCAAAAGTAAAGTCAATCTATAATTGTCTTAATTTCCTTACCTTGTTTTGGAAGTGGAATTATACCAGACTTGAATGGCTAGAGTAGCTTTCCCACTTTTTGTCTTCAACTTTGAAACAGTACGTTAAATGTTTAAAGGAAGCTTGGAAGGGAGGGATTGCCAAGGGGCATAAGGAAACCTTTGGGGGTGATATGTTCATTATCCCATCACATGATGATGGTATAGATATGCTAAAACTCATCAAACTGTATACTTTTTTTTAATGTATTTATTTTTTTATGATAGTCACACACACACACACACACACAGAGGCAGAGACACAGGCAGAGGGAGAAGCAGGCTCCATGCACCCGGAGCCCGACGTGGGATTTGATCCCGGGTTTCCAGGATCGCGCCCTGGACCAAAGGCAGGCGCTAAACTGCTGCGCCACCCAGGGATACCCAAACTGTGTACTTTAAATATGTGAAGTTTATTGTATGTCAATTATACCTCAATAAAGGTGTAAAAAACGTTAGGTCTGTGCTTGGGCTCCAAAACTGGTGGCAGTGCACTGAAGTCCCATGCCAGCTGGACCCTGGGAGAGAACCATACTTTGCCCAATGCCATTATCTGAGAAAACACCAGAAAGGCATATCATAGGGAAAACATTAAAATCATTACACTGTCAAGAAAGACAACCAAGAATATCTCGTGTGAAAAATTATCATTTCCAATGGAACAATTTCTGAAAGAGGCTGGATCTTTGCGTGCTCCTTCCCAGTATTTCAGACAGTCCAAGATTCCTCAGGCTAACAACTTCAAAGCTGGCTTGAAAGTGGAGTGTGTTACCTTCACACTGTTTCTTCAGCATGTACAGCTACAGTTGCTGGAATTACCAGGGTAAGGGGCCAGATTACCGTTAGCACTGGACTGTAATGAATGACAATGGAAAGGACTTTAGGAGGGCTGTAGATTCCTTGGACACACAATTCCTTGGATTCCTCCTTGGAGAGGGCTCCACTTTAGTCTTCTCTGGAGTTCCAGATGAATGTATCCTCTCAGCCAATGTTCCTTTTATGAATTCTAGATGGCTCTGAAATCACAACTTCGACATTCTCTAAGAAGGAATTACCAAAGCCAGCCCTAAATAATTTAAAGTGGGAATGAAACTTGAAGCACTAGACAGAATCCTATCTCATCTGCCCTGCAACTCCTGTAGGTGTTAGAGATGATGAAGTTTATATCGCCTTTGAGAAAGAGAGAGGAGTTTTTCATTATTGCTACAGTACCATTCCGAGGTATTTTCCTAGTTGGGTAACATTCCCAGACAGATGTCTGAGACCATGAAGAAATGTTGCTATTACAAAAACTGCAACAGAAGTACAGGCTCCTTCCAAAGTAACTCGGTGTTCAATGCAGTCCATATAGAAAACTGCTCCCAACCACCAGCACAGTGGGTCAAGAAAGCAAGATAGTTTAAACCACCTACATAGACGTCAGCCTCTGAGAAGGATGGTTTTTAAACATGCCCCCAACCCCCCAATCAGCATCCATACTTTTTTAAAATGCCTAAAATTAAGAAAAAAGGGTTTTTAGAAAGTCATCCCATTTTGTGTTCTCCTACATCTCAGTTTGCGTAAAGTCGCTACCCAGAGCCCCTGGCCTTCCATTTGGCAAGGATGGCATTACTCAGACAACCGCCACAAGGATATCTGCCATCTGTGACTCTGGAAACAGGGAAACTTGAGTGCTCCCCTGCATCAGGAGATGCCCACACTTGCTGGCCAGCTCCTGGGGTAGCATGCTGGATGGTGCCCTCCAAACTGGACCAATCATGGATTCCTCCTCAAAGGAGACGTGGCCGCTGCCTCCTCTTGGGGAAATGACTCTATCCATCTTCCTTTAGTGAAGAACACTTGCTCAAGATAAACTGATCAAAATAAATCAGCAAAAGAAGACATATCAGGACACAGAAGTAACAAATGACATGCTACAAACCTCCACCTAAAGCTCTCCCATTCTCCTCTAAGCTCCCCACGATAGAGCTACATGCATCGGATGCAGAAATTCTGTCTTAAGAGGAACGGACACACCCGCATGCATGAAGAGCAAAGGCACTCTTATAAACCCACTTATGCAACAAACCAACTCTGAGCCCCACCTGGAGAAATCCATAAACTCTTACCTTTACTATAGGAACTCTTTTCAGGCTGCGTTAGCTATATCAAGCTCATCACCAGTTCTGAATTGATTGTCATTGGAGTCTTCCAAGGACAACTATCGGAAGTCAGGAAAATCCACACACAGAGAACTGAGGTCCCAGGTCAACACTCGGACCTTAGCTCAGTGTACTCAAAGGATTTCCACTGTGGGCTGTGGAGGAAGTAATACAATTTGTGAAAGAGGCAACTTCTCACAACTGGGTGCACCTCAAAAAGCTCTTCAGTAGACATGCAGGTTCTACTGTGACCAAGGGGTCAATACAGGGAAATATAGGAGACTGAGGCTAAGGCCAGCATTAGAGCCAGGCCACCACATCAGACGACTTGGCAATCAACAAGGGGCTCTGCGTCTGTTCAGACTGCACACATTTCTCTGCTGTACCAATGTATTCTCAGTTGAAAAGTGGGTTTGTTGCTCCAAGCAGTCTTCCTTTAGCAGAAGATCTCCCTGAAAATTGGAAGGCCAACATTATAATCTACTTCTCTAAGAATCACCAGAGGGATGAGGACTACCATACTCAAAATGATAGTTCTTTGCATCTTTTATTTCTTTTTTAATTGTACACTTTACAAATTACCACTACCCCTTCTGCCTTAGTTGTGACAGCCAAAAGTATGTCCAGACAAATGTCCCCTATGGGGTAAAATGGCCCCTTGCTGAGAACCACCAAACTACATCACTTCTGTGAGTGTTCTATCTGGTGGTATAATATTCCATTCATGTTCTATTTGTTTCCAGACAGCAAATAACCATATAAATCACTTTCCTTGATGTTTTTATTTTTTATTTTTTTTTTTAAGTAAAGCTCTGAAATCTTTGGGAGAAAAAAAGAAAAGAAACTTAGATCTCCCTGAGTTCAGAGCCTCTACCATTAGGCTACAAAATGTAAAAGCAGGTCATTCCACCCTGTGTTTCTGGAAAGGCTAAAGAGGAAATGTACATTTCCACAGTATTTTTCACAAGAAGCTTTATGAGCAGCTGTAACTATAAAAGCCCCAGATGCTATTAAAGGAAGGGCGAGTCTCATAGACCAATCTGTGAATCTCGAAAGGAGACATGAAATTCTATTTTAGAAAAAGAAAGGTAACAAGTATCTAGAGAACTGATAGATTAATGTAATGACTGTCCTACAAGACACATATAAAACAACAAACTTAGTCCTTCCCTCCAGGAGCTCGGAGTCCCAAACATGGGCTGAGGTCATGCACATATGGTCTTTCCATATCCCAACTTCCTCCCTTGCTGACCACTGATTTACTCATTGGAAGGGTGTTCACAAACACTGTTCACTCTGTTTTGCCTGAGGAGGGAACTTGAGATGATTCTTCTACCTCCACCATGTCAGGGTCTGGGCTGCTGAGCAGGAGCAGGGGAAGGACACAGCTTCCATACTGTCAAAGTCACTAAAAGGTGTTTTGTCCTCAGCTCTATAAAAGTGAAACAGGCCTTTCCCTACTCCATTAGAGTAGATAATTGGGATTTGGTGCTAGACATGTCTAATATTTTCTAACTACCCTGTTACTGATGGTGGGGAGGAAAAAAATCCTGGATGTTATGCACCTACCTTGCCAATTATAATCTCTAATCCAATGGCATCCACTTTGCTGCTAATCCCCAGGATGAGGCTGTTGTCTGAGGAGATATGAAAATCCAGTGTGATGTTTACATCCCATTGGACATTGTACACTTTCTTGACTGATATCTAACAAATATAACCCTGAATATAGCATGAGCCCAGCCCAGGACACCCTGACCCAGGAAGTCTCAAACTCAGGCTCAAAGGTCATGAGCTGGGCTGGACTGGCTGGGTACAGCTTGGGTCCTAAATGAGGTGCAGCTAGACCTGGCCCTTGCTTCTTTTCTGATCCACTTCCATCCCCACCAGGTCACTTCTACTCTCTGAGTCTCAGCTTCCTCATCTGTGAGATGAATCAAGTGTCGCTTTCAAAGAAGACATACCCAGTCATTGATGCTGAGCCAGACTGGAACATGAAATGGCATATCTTGATCATCTAGTGCCACGTAAGCATTCAGTTACCAGAAGAGGTTTGCATTTTTGACAAGTGCCAATCTTAAATTCTAGGATAATACTATTCAAAGTGTGGTCTGTGATCTGGTGCCAGCTGGCAAACTGTTACTAGTCCAGGACAAAGTAGGCCAAAAGAATAGGAGGAAGCTCCGAGAAATGAATATGTAATAATGTGACATTTCCTCAAAGCCCAAGGACAAGACTGGTGAACTCATCTCATTGAAATAGGGTATAGGGCAGTTTGGGTTTTGGGTGGTCCTTGAATGGTGAATGCTATGTGACCTCAGCTGTATACTTTGCACAGGAGGACTTCTTTATGCTGCGTATCATTTTAAGATATGTCAGCCATAGGGGCACTTGGGCTGCTAAGTGGTTGAGCGTCTGCCTTTGGCTCAGGGCATGATCCTGGAGTTCTGAGATCGAGTCCCACACCAGGCTCCCTGTGAGGAATCTGCTTCTCCCTCTGCCCGTGTCTCTGCCTCTCTCTCTCTGTGGCTCTCATGAATAAATAAAATCTTAAAAAAAAATCTGTCATCTATAGTCCAACATCCTATAATCTGTACACATTTTTCATTTATAATTTGTTTTTATAATCATTTGACTTTTAATTAAGATTTTAATGTAAATACAAACATATTTGGTAGCTATTGTAGGGAAGTAAATTTGTCTGACAAAGTGCTAAAACCATAGTGTGGTTTATGGAAAAGTAATAGTGAGTCATGAATGAAACGGATACTTAAGTGGCCTTTACTTACCAAACAAATTCAAAACAAAAAATAACTCTTAAGAGAGTTTTGATTTAAAAGGCTGACAGAAGCAGATGTTGGATGTTACACGATAAATATTAAAGCTATGGGGCGTTTCACAAAACTCCTTCGGTTGCTAAACTAAAAATCCATTTACAATCACTAAAAGATTAGCAAAAGATTGCATTGGAAATGTTTGCTTAGAAGCGTTAGGTGAAACACAGGAAAAATGGAGCTCAAGAACCACTTTCTAATCATGTGTTCAGAAACTGGCTATGAAGATTTAAGACCAACTCTTAAAATATATAATGGTTCTTTTCACTGCAATGTGGCAACTACACAGATATTGCTAAAAAGAATTAATTTGAACATGACAGTAAAAAGACAGGATATCTGGGAGATATCCCCCAGCTTTATTGCTAATAAGCAACTAGCTCTGAACTGAAGAAAACTAACATCATCAACCTGTGTTTGGTATGTAAGTTTTAAGTAGGAACATGTTCTGACGGCACCCCTGAAATGAGAGGAAAGCATTTCATAAGTTACCTGGATGGAGAACTTGCAACTGATTGTAATCGTTCACAACTCCCTTCATGGAGAAAAGTCTTGCTATGAAATATGTCAGCTTAACTAAAATATATGCTTAGTGATGCAGGAAAAACTAATGTGGTAAATTGAAGATTATACTTTTTATAATGCAATAATATGGAAGTTGAATCCTAAATGGTACTATGTGCTGAATTAGGATCTTCATGGAGCAGAAAAGCTGTGTCAGGAATGTCTGAACTGTAAGACAAATCCTTGTCTTCTGCTTCTACAGAATAAAGTTAATTTGGTTCTAATTTTTTAAGTGTAAACTGGATAATCAGTCTTGCTTATTTGTTGCTATCTTCAATATTTTAATGATTCTTATACTTCCATGGAAGGAAGCATGGCAACATTTTTTTGCTGGGAATATATGATCGTAAAGGAAAAATAAAAAGCTTCACAGAACACAGTTTTACAGATTTTTGACAAGTTCCATAATTTAATAATGACTGTGAATGAAGGAGGTGATGATCTTAGTGTCACCAACCTGAAAAGCTACAGACATCTTATGAATGTGGCCAAAATGCTTTAAATTTTATTTTTCATTATTAGAATAGCCATATGTAGGAAAATCATGGCTTTGAAAGGTAATTTCAATAAAAGGAAGTTGATATAGAACGATAATTATGAAATAAATCATGGAACTAGTTGATAGACCAAAAATGAATTTTGAAAATACAGCATCACTTGTTTCATTTTGGATCAAAGTTAAAAATGATTATCTTGAACTTGCTGAAATTAATCTCCTGTCTTACACTGCAATCAACATACCTCTATGAGATTAATTTCTCTAGTGAGGTTTTTTTAAATTTATGTGTGTGTGAGAGAGAGAGGGACAGAGAGAGGAGAATCCTCAAGTAGACTCTCTGATGAGTGTAGAGCCTGATGTAGATCTCAGTCTCAGGACCCTGAGTCTGAGTCAGGACCCTCAGGACCTGAGCCAAAATCAAGAGTTAGATGCTCAACCAGCTGAGCCACATAGGTGCCCCTCTCCAATGAGTTTTTAAAACAAAACATAGAAGTCACTTAGATATACCTTAGCACGTAATGTCATAAACCCTAATTATTTTATATAGATTAACAAGTAGGGATACCTGGGTGGCTTAGCGGTTTAGCACTTGTCTTTATCCCAGGACATGATCCTGGAGTTTGAGGATTGAGTCCTGCATTGGGCTCGCTGCATGGAGCCTGCTTCTCCCTCTGCCTGTGTCTCTGCCTCTCTCTCTCTCTCTCATGAATAAAAATCTTAATTTTTTAATTTTTATTTATGATAGTCACAGAGAGAGAGAGAGAGAGAGAGAGGCAGAGACACAGGCAGAGGGAGAAGCAGGCTCCATGCACCGGGGAGCCCGACGTGGGATCCGATCCCGGGTCTTCAGGATCAGGCCCTGGGCCAAAGGCAGGCGCCAAACGGCTGCGCCACCCAGGGATCCCCTAAAAATCTTAAAAGGAAAAATAGAACATTTAAAATTAACAAGTAGTAAACACATTTGTGGAATGACAAAATACTACAAGTATAATGGGGATTCTTTATATTAATCCCGTATATGCATACTTTCAATGAATGTGTACCAGTCTTAAAATTATCTTTTTCCTGTTTTATTCATTCTAACGATGGTTAATAAAATGCTGGTTCATTCTGTGGTCTTTAATTCAGAAAACTAGGTTTGTACTAAGTCTCTTTTTTCATTTTTCTAGTAAATAATTTTCTATAGTATTTCACAAAAATATCAGTCCACAATGGATAGGAGACTTTTAGAAAAACTGGTCTTCCATCATTGACAATTTGAGAGACAAATTATTTAGTATCACATCTTTGCACAACTCTTCTCTGTGCTCTTTTTTTTTTATCGAGGTAAAAAGTTTATTTAAGGCTCTGAGAAATTAAGCTATACTAATGAACGGCCTGTTTGTAGAGTTGATTTTTGGAATCAGGAAATTTCACTGTTGGAAGAAATATAGTTCAGTATCCTGCCCAAGTTTGACGTTGGTTCTATAAAATACTGAGAGCAACAACAACAAAAACACAACCCCCCTGGATTTAGGTCTTACAGTGCAGAGTCGGGAGTAGGCTCTGGTGTCAGTGAATACATCCGAGCCTTGGTTGTGCTCCACCCTGTCGTACCACCTTGGACAGCGCACGCCTAACTCCTCCGATGGACGGACGGACGGACGGCAGCGGCAGCCTCCCGGTTCGTGCAGTGAGAATAGTGAGGACACCTGCCAAGGAGTTCCTGCGGCCTTCCTGAGACCGCCTGTGGAAAAGCGCCGTCCCGTCCCGGGCTGGGGCCAGTCATGGGCCGCTCCCGCCGTCCTTGCCGTGCCGAGCACTTGATTCTCACCAATGTTTCAGACATGCGGACGCGCGGGCTTGGAGAACTAAATGACCAGCTGCAGACCAGAAGCAGAGGCCCTTCTCGTTTCCAGAACCACGCTCCTTCCACCCCGGGGCTCGGCCTTCCAGGCAAATGCTTGCTGGGTCCCAGGAAGGGGGTGCTCAGCCCCTCGGTCCTTGCCTTCTTCAGTCAAGTCTCAACTGGCCTCCCTGTGGCTTCCATCTGTTGGGCCTGGCCATGCTCTCTGAAGCAAGAGAACAAACAAGGCATAGACACCTCGAATCCGAAGCCTCCGTCTGCCCCCAACTCCGCCCTCGGGAGGGGCCACAGCCCGGCCCCCACGCTCCCGGCTGCCCTCCTCTGGGGGTCGGGGCTTCCGTCGGCTTCCCGTCACCTCTCCCCAAATTTCTGGGCCTCCCCGCAACTCCCACCAGGGGGCCGGAGGGCCGCGTGGGCTGAGCCCCTTCCAGGGCCGCCTTCGCTCCCACCCCCCGCCCCCCAATTGTTTCTCGCCCGGAATTGTCTCCGCGAGCTTTTGAAAGGGCGACACCTAGCTTCCGTCGAAACCTCGCGGCCTTCTCAGCGATCCCCCTCGGCATCTCTGGGGAAGCCCACTGTCGGCAGCTTCTCCCCCCACCTCCCGGGCCTTGCAGAGACCTGGCCTCTCTTTACGGGTTAACCGCGCTGGCGCTGAAGCCCTTTGCAGCTTGGGGCGGCAGCGGTTCGGAGAGCGGAGACGAAGGACCCCGCCCCCAGGCACGAGTGCACAGTTCCGAGCCTTGCCAACCGCCAGGCCAACGGCCACCGACCACCGACCACCGACCACCGACCACCGACCGCCACGGGTCCCCTGTCACCGCTCCGCCCGGCCGCCACGCCCCCCGCCCCGCCCCGCCCGCCGCCGGACCCTCTCCTCCGCTCCCCGACCCCGCCCCCTGACGCCATGGACCCCGCCCCCTCCGCCCGACCGCCACGCCCCCGCACGGCCCGGCCCCGCCCCCCGGGCGCTCGGGTCTCCAGGCCCCGCCCCGCGCCGCCGGTCCCTCTCCTCCGCTCCCCGACCCCGCCCTCTGCCGCCGTGGACCCCGCCCCCTCCGCCCGACCGCCACGCCCCCGCACGGCCCGGCCCCGCCCCCCGGGCGCTCGGGTCTCCAGGCCCCGCCCCGCGCCGCCGCCGCCCCGCCCCGGCCGTCCGCACGTTGCCGCGCGCCGGCTTACCCGCCATTAACGGCCGGATGGGCCTGAGAGTCGACGCCTCCTGCGCGTGGGCGCGTCCTCGTCGTCGCCTCAGCACGGCGGCCCCGGTGGCGTGGCTTTGAAGAGCCCTCCTCGTGTTCTCCGGCTCCGTGTGCTTGAAGAGAAGGAACGGGCCAAGGGGACACGAGGCTGCCGAGCCCCGCGGGCCCAGGATTCCTCCGGGAGCCCCCGGAAGCCGCGGCCCGGGCCCCGCCGTCGCGCACCCGGCGGGCCCTGCGACCCCTGCGACCCCTGCGACCCTGAGAGCCGGCACCCGGTGAGCCGGAGGACCAGCCCGGGCGGGCGGGGCCGGGAGCCCGGGGGCGCGGGGCTCGCGGGGGCCTGATGCGCGTGCGCGCGCGCCCAGGGGAAGCGGGTGGGCCACCGCCACTGCAGCATCTGCCCCGCGCCCCTTGGGTTGGTGCTGCGGCCTGCGCCGAACCCGGGGACGGGGACGGGGACCCTCAACGGAAGGGCGTCAGACACCGGGAGCTGAAGGGAAGGACTTACACGTTTTGGGGGGTTGGTGGCGTTTTCCCGCCCTCCCCGCTTTAGAGCAATCTGCCCAGCATCCTTTCGGTGACCCCGCCTGCTGCCTGCTGCCTGCTGCCCGCTCCCCGGTGCCGGGCCTGGTACCTTTCATAGGCTTGTAGAGCACCTGCCTGAGGCCCTCGGGCTCCTGTACCAGAAATGCCAGAAACCGGGTGGCTTACAAGCAACAGAAATTTCTCAGAGTTACAGGGGCTGGAAGTCCAAGACGAGGTGTCGGGTGCTTAGGGACGCCCCTGTTCTAGACAGCCTCACGTGGTGGAAGAGGGCAGGGGCCTGCTTTATAAGCACTTTGATCTCCTCGATGGGGGCTCCACCGTCGTGACTTAATCACTTCTCAAAGGCCCCACCTCCTAATAACATCACTTTAGGGGAAGCTTTAAGGGTATGAATTTTGGAGGGTTACATTTGCACTCTTTCTTAGTGCTCTTCAAAGTTTGTGATTGTGATGTTTTGAGATTTCTTTTTAAAATATGATGTCTCCCTTATTCCACTCTCTACACACTGAATAGAACATTTCATGAGAAGGGTGGCAAATAATCTGTTTTGCCCACGGAGTTATCCCTCACATCTAACACAGTGACTGGCATGTGGTAGTTGCTCTGTAAATATTTATTGAATGTATGAATGCTGTCTTTAACACCTTGGAATTATGATAATGATTTTGTGACTTCTTTTTTCCCTGTTATTATCTAGGTATGATTCCTGAAAAACATTTATGTAATAAAACTCAGGATTATGGATTATCTTCATTAGTGTGGCATAAAGGGAACTCTCCTATAGTTAACTTCTGCTCTAAACCATCCAGAGAAAACTTTGTCAGCTGTCCTTGAGAAACTAGGTTGCTTTTTCCAAAGGCCTTAGAACAATGTTCATTTTGCTCATACCCTGTTATTTATTAGGTGTGAAAGATTTCATAAAGGATTTTGACACACTGAGCCTTCCTACTCTTTCCTGCTTGCTGCGTGAAACCATTATGGTAAAATGAGATTGTAGGTGTAAGAGCTTCTAGAATTGGAAAATTCTAGAAGTCTAAACTCTGTAAATTTAAAGAAATATTTTTGTTGTTATTCTTTTTCAGTAATTGATCCAGGCCCACTTCTCCACCTTATAGTTTGTTTACAGGTCACATTAGCCATAAAGACATGAAAATACTTTCCTTTGCTCTTCTTCCTATTACACTTTGGTTTCTTCTTAAAAGTACTTGGAGGTGCAATTAGTGCTTTTATTGTCTGTGCAGGAGCTAAGCTGTAACGTTTTATTTGCATCCTATATTAAGTGTAATACAATGCACATTTCCTTTGTCTAGTTACCACTTGACAGCAAAAAAAAAAAAAAAAAAAAAAAAAAGGAACATCCAAAGCAAAACAATTCATTTGTGGATTGGAATCTCTAGGTATAAAATGTACCATTCTTGACTAATTGAGACTTAGTATTTAAACAGTTGTAACTTAAAATGTTTCTGTAGAATGCTGACCAATGTTCACCTGATAAAACCCATGGGAAACCTTTCTAATCAGGCATAAGTGTTGTATATTTCCTTGTTTACATAATATATACAGTATTTAAAGATTTTTCGGAAGCCACACAGAGAAGTCCATTTCATTACAACCTACTTTTTACATGAATATGTGTATGACTTATACATAAGTATACAATATCATACTTAGTGTGGTAATTAAGAGCAAGGGAACAGGGAGAAGTATACAGATACAAAATCTCTATTCAAGTTTTAGTCTGTCACCAACCAGCTGTGTAAGTGCAAAGTAGTTAACTTCTATAAATGTCTTAATCTAAGGCTGGGAGAGTGAAGGATGGTCAGGTGAAAGTGCTGCTGTCCTGGAGAAAAGGGGAGTGGGATCTGGGATCTGTATGGCCTAAAGGAGTTAGGACTGGGAGTTTGTTGGCAGTAGTGGAAGACAATGAATAAGAACAAGTTAAAAAAAAAAAAACCAGTAGGAATTAGGATAAAGCTTGGGTAAAAAACAGTTGACAGTATTTTCCTAACAGAGACAACTGTGGACAAGTACAAAGGGATTTATGTGGCTAGTATTACTAAATATTTATAATTTGTAGTTGAAAAAAATAATTTGTAGTTGAAGAAATTATGGACAGTAGCTACAGTATGAGAATGATCATGGAGTAGCCTTGAGGAGATGGCCTTTCCTATCCCTTGGTGTCTATCATCTTCTCCCTCATCCTCATACTGATCATGCTTCTGCCATATATTTGCCCTGAGCATCTATGTCTTTTGAACATTTACTTAACAATTTTTTAAAAAGATTTTATTTATTTGACAGAGCAAGAGAGCACAAGCAGAGGGAGCAGCAGAGGGAGAGGGAGAAACGGGCTCCCCAGGGAGCAGGGAGTCCCTGACATGAGGCTTGATCCCAGACCCCAGGATCATGACCAGGTGCCCCTCACGTAATGATTTTATCATAGTTTTCTTCTTCTAGATACTCTTTGACTTCCACATATCCAGAGTTTTCTTATATTTCTAAAGCCTCTTCTTCCATGTTTTTATTTTCATAAGACTTTTCTCCCTTAAGCATGGGCTGAGAAATTATAGCATCTGTGAGAGAAGTGAGGTGTGAATTGGTAAACTGGAGATGGCATCAGAGGTTCACAGTTTAGATTACTGTTTTGTCATAGAGGGATATACCTGGAGACTAGCCATATATAAGAGATGCACAGGGCAGGGTATGTGAGAAGGGGCTTGGAGCTTCCATGCCCTCTCCAGGCATGCCACTCTCTGCAACTCCACATGTTCACCAGTCCAGAAACTCCCTGATTTAAATGTTAATGTCATCCAAGAACACCCTCACGGAAACACCCAGAATAATGCTTGGCCAAATATCTGGGCAGACTATAGCCCAGTCAAATTGGCATATAAAATTAATCATGAAAACTCTTGAGTGTTGTCAAATACTTTTCTGCACAAATTGAGATGACTGCGTGTTATTTTTTCCCCTTCATTATGTTAATATGGTGTGTGTGATGATTGATTTTCTTATGTTGATCTGTCCTTGCATTCCTGGAATAAAGACTATTTGGTCATGTTATATAAACCTTTAATACATTGTTGAATCCAGTTTGTTAGTATTTTGTTGAGGATTGTTGCATCAGTATAGGTAAGGGTTATTGGTCTGTAGGTTTCTTTTTTTTTTTAAGATTTTATTTATTCATGGGAGAGAGAGAGAGGGAGGCAGAGACACAGGCAGAGCAAGAAGCAAGCTTCACGCAGGGAGCCCAACGTGGGACTCGATCCCCGGACCCTGGGATCACACCCTGGGCCGAAGGCGGCGCTAAACCACTGAGCCACCCGGGCTGCCCGGTCCATAGGTTTCATGTAGTATCTTTGTCTGACTTTTATATTAGGGTAATGCTGTCCTCTCGGATTTAAATAAGAAGTGTTCCCTCTTCTATTTAACCGTGTGGTTGGTCAGAGGAACAGTAGAAATACAAAAAAACACAACAGGCACTGTACCGGAACTAATGATTCCTTGAAGAAGGAGTCATTTCAAATTTTTGCAATAAGATATATTATATCAACTACTGTTAATTAAGAATCACTGCTTAAGATTGGGGAAAAGACCACCATTTAAAGATAAATGATAATGCATTTGGTGAAGAGTTCTTTGCAATGCAAGAGATATCCTAAGGTAGACTGTGATTGATTGCCAGTTGTGTGTGATCCAATAATTCAGAAGTAAAAGAGAAGTGAGGAAGAATTCACAGAAGAGGAAGAATTCATATTTCATATGCAGAGATATGGCAGGCATAATTATAGATGGAAAAGTAGAACAGGCAAGACTAATGAAGGGGGAATGAGCCAAGACCTATTCATGGACAGTGAAGAACCTATTTGGGCTAGGACAGGGTTCAGGAAGTTAGGGAGTTTGAGATGGTCCTCTACAGTCTGTAGGGGACAGGAACTCTTAGGGTGGAATTTATCTTAATAGAGCTGCTTGAGAGGCTAGAGGA